AACTTGATGAACTTGAAGATGGCGAGGAATCTGTAGGAAAACAATGAGAACTTGATGCATGAGGGAGCAAAACAAAGACATACCATGTCAGCATGGTTGGGCACTCACGATATCAAGTGTGTGGTTTGAGCGCAAAGACAAGTGGTGGTGGTGTTGAGTTGTTGACAGTCGTGTGACTCTAATGTGCGGTGCGCAATTTGTGAGTGGAGATGTAGCCAGAGTCTATTGGCAAGGTGTGAGTACAGAAACACAGTACAGAAAGCACCACTGACCTGACTACAAGTTGGGGGCAGAGACACGGAAAGAGCTATGGCGCTAACTGCCAGCGCTCATTTGAAGGCTTGAGGTCCACGACGAGGAGTCTGCAGGAAACCTCAATGAGAACTTGACGGGTGAAGGGGAAGAAGAAAAAAAAAGGCATACCATGTCAGCGTCGTTGGGGTGTGGTTTGCGTACAGAGACAAGTGGTGAGCCAGACTCCTGCCTGTCGATAGTCGGGTAATTGTGATGCATCATAGCGCGCAAGTCGGGAGGAACTAGGATCATCAATGAGTATAGGGAAGACTGAGCGGGAGAGAATACATACCTGTGGGCAATGTCCGACGCGTCGAGCAGGGGATGGTGGTGGAGTTGTTGACAGAGAGAAATAGACGGGTCACGGAGAGTGACCGCGGAGTTGCCGGTGATGGATGGCAGCAACTCCGACATCGGCCGGTGATATGTGACGAGTGGCGAGAGATGCCGGCAGTCATTGGAAATGATCTGAGCGTCGGCGGAGGATTAGGCGAGTGACGGATAGACGGAGAATGGAGCGAGCCGACAGCGGGAATGGCATAGAGCTCAGGGACTAGCCGCGCTTAGGGTAACGACATGTGAACCTGTGTGAGCAGAGATTCAAACGGCTCTTGGCTTAGGTGGTTGCCGATAGACAGTTTGGTTAAGGTCATTTTGCCTGTTCAACCTTTTTGCATAGTTTTGGTTTGAAATCTAACATAGTCCAAAGCTTGTTGTGCATCAAGGAATCACCACTCAACATGGCCTTCCATTTCCTTCAACCCCCATTTTTGACTTGTTTGGACGCGTCGCGACGCGTCGCGACGTCGCGACGCGCGTCGCTGATTCAGCTGCCCATCCTGACCGATAAGGCAATTCAATATGTTGTGAGTTTTGCCCTCATAACTTGCGCGATCAGGTACGGACAGGCGTGGGAAATAATGTTCGAACCCACTAGATGTTATCCAGAGCTTCATCGCACTTATATCTGAGCATGAATGGACGTGATACACCAGGGGATGTATTCTACTGATAATGCAACAGACGTGCATCGCGCCCGCCGATAGGCTTGGAATTTTTTGGGTGACATGTGACATGTCACTCCAAGCCTCCCCGTGCCCATATTCGTCGTCACGGCTTCTCCCACCATGCGGTATTGCTCCAATCCTCAAATGTGCTATTTCACTTTCCGACACTTAGGCGCGGCGGAGCTGGCTAGATCTCCCTATCAACCGTTGCCGACAGGGTTGATCTAACGTGGGAGGTGTTTCATCGGAGCTCCGCCGCGCTCGATGTACTTTCAGTGCAAAATCTCACTTTCTGTACTTGTGTGAATACAAGCATAAACTTGGGAGGTCTGAGGCAGGAAAAGTGTAGGGCACACAGAAACTACAACCCTCCTTCAATTCCTTGCGCTCGATTTTATCTCACCCGACATCGGCACTCAATATGCGGGAATCTTGAAATCACGTATAAGTCAACTCCGTTGATATCTTCAGCGCTCCGCTTCTGAATCGGCTCAACATGCCGTTACGGTGGGTATAAAACCCTGGGACTTGTCTTGACAAGTTCCATCGCCCTTTCCTCCCTTCTCTCACCTTCACTCCCGCTCGACCTGCTCGTTGTCATCGTTGCTCACAGCACACAAGGGTGCGTTGCTCAACTCTTGCATTTCTGTCTAATGACTTGTACTTGGCTAGTTCGACACTTCCCGCTCTCAACCTGTCGGCGTTGAGCAGCATTGTCGGCAGTCCCGGACGATGATGATGATGCGCCGACTTTGGTATTTCACTGGTTTGACACCTGGACCAGGTGAGTTTTCTAGTATAGAGCATCGACAAACAAACCAGCTTACCGTGATTTGCAGGCCGCAACAACCCCGGGCTGGGCCGTTTGACTTGTGGAGTTGGCGCCCGTTGAAGGCGATCCAGGTATGTTCTTTAGCGCTTGCAGCTGTTGTCGTTGTCTGACTTGTTAGGATAATGCGCCGAACACGCCGAAGATTCTGAACCAGGTGAGTATGGAGTAGCGACAAACAAACCAGCTTACCTTGATTTGCAGCTTGCCTTGGTTCTGTGGCTTGGAGGCAAGCGCCGTTGACGGCAGTCCGGGTGTGTGGCTAACCATTGGCGGTAGTGATGTCAACTGACTTGGTTTAGCAGGGCCGCCGCTCCCTGCCCTTGACCAGTAGCGACAAACAAATTAGCTTAAGCAGCCCACTGATTGACCTTCATATCGTCAGACCCGCTAACGCAGCATCTCAACGAGCGCGGAAACGGGCGAGCTGGATTGACCGCGATGTAAACCTATATTTGGGTGAGTTTGCCATCCAACACATTGAGAACGACGACTGACCCTCTTAAGACGGCACGAAAGACAGTAACGAGGGTAACGCAGGAGGTCAGGGGACGATAACAATAACAACCGGGGAGTGTTGGGGTTTCTGCCCATAGCGTTGGCGGCCTTGGTCTTCATCCCGACACAAGGCATGAGCTGGTTTGCATGCTAGACAACGTCTGGTAAGTCAGAATTGCATATCATAGTGGCAGCTTACCTGAAACAAGACTTGGCGCAAAATATGCGCAGAGATGATCACAATCTGGAGCTGGTTGCTGGTTAAGCTAGCGCTGCCTTGGTGAGTTTGCCGTCCACCAAATTGATAGCACTAACCTTTTCAGAACAATGCTGAAGAAAAACGGGCCGGCGTCGTCTTGAGTTCTATTGGGAGGCGGTGATGGACTCGGGGTGGATTAGTGAGTCGTTCTAGGTTTGTCATTCGAGTTTGCTGATCGGCCCGGGGCATATTGCCCGCAACAAGTGGGTTGCCGTTGTTGAGGCCGCTTTCAAGTTGTTGCTCAACAGCAACCTCGGCGCGCTCGTCGTTGCTGTCGGCCACCAGCCGGAAAGTGAGGCTCTCAAAATTTCCCGAGTCTGCCCACATCTCACCCGGTTTGCCAGCCCTTGTTAGAATCGCTGTCTTCGTTAGTCGCTGAGCCAGCAAATGTTGTTTCTTGATTGGCCGTCTAGAACGTCGAAAGCAATGACCAATCTTCTTTATAGTCGTTGGGTTTGATGCAATAGCGAGATGGTTGGCCGGAGAGATGGCAAGTCGTGGTTGATACTGATGAGTTGTAGTTGATTCTGCGGCTTGCTAGGAAAAGCGGGCCGGAAAAGTGGGCTGCCGATAACTTGCGCGGCATTATTTGCACCTGCCAGCCGGCTCGGTTTGCTGATGCGTTTATTGGTTGTGGGGGCGAGAGAGACGGCGATGCAACAGCGTCTTGGTTGAGTTTGCATAAAATTTCGATGATAGACAGCTTGCACGTTGCAGAAACGGCGGCCCGACATCTGTCGTTGGGAGACTCAGAGCGGGCTCCGGGAGGCGTTGCAGAGTTGGCGGTGGTACGGGCCATAGCAGCAGCAGATGGCGCGTCGACTTGAGCGTTGTGGTGGTTATTGACAAGCGTGATCGGTGTGGCTGTGGAATCAAGTTAGCCGGCGGCCAGCGGGAAGCCGAACACTTTCACCTCAACGCCCATGTTGTTGACGACGGTCTTGTGCCTAATCACTGTCTGGACTGGCCCTGGGCATGAGCATCGTCGTCGTTGCTCAAAGGTGCGTTATGTTCTTCATTGATTTTGCCTCACTTACAGCGACTTCTAGTGTTTAGCTTCGACACTTGCGCTGTCTGCGCAAGCTTGTGCTGAGCACCCTGCTCGTTGTCGTTGTTGGTCAATGGTGTGTTATGTTCTTCAATAATTTGCCTCACTTACAGTGCTTTTGCGTTCACTGTAGCTTGTGCTCCAGCCCGCCCTCGACCCGACTATCCCATTAGCACCTTGCTCATTGTCGTCGTTGATCAAAGGTGCGTTATGATCTTCATTAACTTGCCGTACGTACTTACAATGACTTCTAGTGCTTTTGCGCTCGCTGTCTGCGCAAGCTTGTGCTCCAGCCCGCCCTCGACCCAGCTCGCATCCGGCTATCCCATGAGCACCTTGCTCGTTGTTGTCGTAAGGTGCGTTGCTTGTGTTCTTCATTGACTCCGAATCACCCTAAATACAATAGTTAGCTAGGGCCGTTTACCCTGTCCACACAAGGCCCACAACTCAGCTCACCCGTCGAAGACGAGGAACTTGACCTGGTCTTACACCAACGCGTTGGGGTAGACGGTGCCAATATGCAGCTGGTTGTGGTTGACAGGGAGGCTGGGGGCATTGACGGCTTGGTGCTGTTTCGAGCTTGATTTTATTGCGCGGCAGGACGGGCCGAGTTGTTGCTGGGAGTACGCTGCATGCTGCTCGCGGGAATTGCAGGTGTTGGAGCGAGAGTTGGTTGTGCCCGCAAGGAACTAGAGTTGTGGTGGTCGTCGTTTCCGCCAAATGATGTGGGTGTGGCTGTGGATTGGCCAACGGAGCCAAATCGGGAACCCGGCCCGTCACTGATCTTTTCTTCCCCGACGACGGTCTCGCTGGCGAAGGGTAACGGAGCCGAGGACACTGAAGGGCCAACTTTTGCGGACAACGACCCGGATTCATGCAGCATATGAATAGGTCTGCATTCATGCGGCGTATGCGCAGGTCTTCCATCACCGGTGCAGAACACACACAAAAAAGCTTTACATTGATGGGAAAGCAGACTTGGGCGATGCTCAATAGGCCGCTGGTCGCAGCTTGTTCAGTTGATGCAATTTGTACAGAGGTTTGATACACTTGACTGATACGTTCTTAAGTTTCCAACTTTGCGACACTGTTGGCAACAAAGTCAAAGGTTGCGAGCGTGGAGAATGCTATGAGTTGGTTAATCTGCTGAAGACGAGCGGCAGATTAGCAAGACATACGGGTGAAGCCATTCGCAAGTTGTGTGGACGCGGATCGTTGCGCAGGGGTGAGTATTTGTGTGGAGGCGTCGTACGACCAGCCATCGCTCGCAGCAGCTGGTCGTGGTGGTGGTAAGAAATGCACGAAACTGAGAAGGAATGGGTACCTGACAGGACCTCCTCCGCCCCAAGACCAAGGTATACCTGGGCCAGGGACACTGGAAGGGAGGTATAGGCCTTCTTTAGGAGATTAAATGTCCGCGTGCGGAATGATTCTGTGAAGACACGTGAGCTTCACAGCAGAAGTTATTGAGGTGCAAGAAAATCAGAAAAGCGGGCTCAAGGCCCGAAGGTAGCTGAGATAGGTTTCTGCAGTGCAGACGAAGGCCTGCATAAAGCCAAATGCCTCATGGAAAGCATCGAACGAAAAGCATACCGAGGAAAGCGTTCAGCATGAGGCCCAATATCGCGCCGAGATTCGCGTCAAGGAAGTCGGAGCCGCTGGTGATAGCAAGAAGCTCGGTCGTGCGAGAATAGACATTAGCGTATTTGCGTTCCAGAATCCACAGTTGATGCCAGCAGCGCGAAGAAGGCTTTTGCGATGGGAGACACAGCAAGGTCGCGCGGAAGGCGCTGTAAGGCGAAGCGAGCGGGCTGGCTATGACGCGTCAAAAGAAACAAAAGACTGGGCAACGAGACACTACTTGCAGATCGTCGAGGATAAGATAGGCAAGAACGAGGGGCGTGGTCAGCGCAAGACGGGTTGGACTGCGGTCAGAGTCGGCCTGGACTGTGATGTCAGTCGGGATCGGGAGACATAAAGGTTGCTCGACACACCCCGTAGTCGTTCAACTCGGCCAAACGGATGAGTTCTTTGTACTTCTTTTCTGTTGCCAAAGGAAATATTTGCGTAAAGTGATCTGAAACGACGCTTTGTGGGGCTGGCGCTGCAGCTGGAGCCCTAGCAGCATCCTGAATTTCGGTTGCTGAGGAAGGGGGTGGTGTTGGTGGGCCTGCTGTAGACATGATGATGCCAACCCCCGTTGCTCCAGCTCACCCATCGCAAAGGTGAGCCCTTACCCTCTGCTGTCCACCTCAACGCTGCTTGCTCACCCATCGCAAAGGCTCGCAGCTCGCTAAGGCTCGCGCGGGGGGGTCTAGTTATATACCTTTTTTTTTCAAGAGTTACGATACTTACCTACTTGATTCTAGTACCCGTCGCCTGCACCTCCCCGATCATCTCTCCTTCCCGCGACGTCCCCCTCTCCCTTCCACCGGCTTCCCATCGGCTCACCATCCCCGTTTGCCCCCCATCTCTCCCTACCACCTCCAACAAAAACCAAGGAAATCCGTGGAGAACTCGCCGAGAACGCCTTGTGATGGCCCGGCGCAGCTGCTAGACATCAGCAATTTGCATAAACAACTGGAAAAAAAAGACGCACCTTGAGTCAGTCCCCCAAACTGAGAAAAAGTAAGCTAGAATAGAGCAGATTGTCGTAAACTCACTGCAATAGCCAGCAGCATCCAAGTTGTCAACAACTGCCAAAGAATCGCTTGCGTCCCAAAGTCGAGTTGAACACACAAAGTCACTCGCGCGCAAACGATGCGCCCGCGGGAAACCCGGCTCGGTGAACGTGGAGGGCATGCGCCTTGACCAGGAAAAGTCACGACAAGTAGGCCTCGTTGTCTCGGATTGAAACAGCCCCAAACTGAGAACAAAGTAAGCTAAAATTGCAGATCGTCCCACCATTTTGAAGACATTAGTGGTCGAGATGGTCCAAACGAGGCGGGGAGTAGCCGGAAGAGTTATGTTGGCACTGGCGGCGGGTGGAGACATAGGAAGTAATGGAGAGCGACGTGGTCATTGTGAGCACGCATGGAAAGAGGTCGTTTGCAGCATCTCGGATCCCAACATCATAAGACTGAGAAGAAAATATTAGGCTAGAATTAAAGCAGATCATCATAAGCTCACCAGAGAGCTGATTGGCAGCACACCGTGCTTTGCAGTCTCGGATCGCGATATCGCAGGACTGAGAAAAAGACAACAGCAGGAGAGTGCACGCAATCGCGAGAGTGGTGCTGGGGGTTGATTGTTGACAGCGCGAAAGCTGGGCCGGCTCTGAGGGGAACGTGTGCCGTTGAAGGCGGCGCTAGAAACTCAGAGGTTGCCAGATGGTGAGGGTTGGTGGGACAGCAGTTCGCGGGACTGCTCGTGATCTCCCGACTGCGTGTGGCGGGGCGGAATTGCAGAACAAAACTGGGTCGGGAGTGACGAGGGAGGGTTGGTCATTTGAGGATTGATAGCCAGTGGGAGGTTGCGTGCAATGGCGAGAGCGGTGCTGGTCACACGCAGATGAAGAGGACGGTGGTGGTGTCGGGGGAGTTTTGGCGGCAACATGACCCGGGCAATTGGCCCGGTTTGAAACCCTGTCCTTGTTGTTATTGCTCTGGCCACCCCGACCGAGTCGCCCGCTGCTGTCTCGGTTTGCCGCAGCACCAGACTGAGAAAAACAACAAGGACCGCCGGAGTTGTGGCTCAGGCAGGTTCCCGTTGTCGCGACTGCTTTGTCGTCAGAGGTGTGACCCAAAGTGTTGCCGAAAGGTCGCGTTGCCCTTCACGGGGCTAGCAATTGGAGGATGCATTGCGGGCGGCGGGCATCCATGGTGGAATCTGCGAGTCGAATGCTGTAAGGAGCGTGGACGCCGCTAACTTCTTGAACCATTAAAGCAACGGCGAGTCGGAGGTGAAGGTACGCCTCCGCTTGCAGGGGCAATGGTGAGTGGGGGGCGAGTTTGGAACTAGAACAGGTTCCGGCAGGAAGGGGTTGGCGAGAGCTTCTGGCCATGCGCGCGGGGAATGGCTTTGCGGGTGTTGTGACATTGGTCGCCTGTGCACACAGTTAGCCGCGACGTGACAGAACAGAAGAACAAAAACATACAAGGAGAGGGGATGGCAGCAAATGGCTGCCAACGTTAACTTTGCTCGGCCAGCCGGTTTGTTTGCCTCCGGCAGCAAAACCCCGCGAAAAATGAGCCGATATAACCCGTTTTTTGAGCGCAGAATAGCTGCCCAAAATCATCGGATAATCCGGATCATTGATCGGATCGACGGCCGGCAGCAGCGGCAATGTGTCCCGGGACGCGGCATGAGGCGGCACATCACCTCCGGGCCTGATCGTACGGTTCAGTTCATCAAGAATGGGGATTTTGTGAATCATACCTGGTGGGATCTTGCTGCAAATGGCAGCAGCTGCAAGGTTGAGTCCAGGTGGTCATGCGTCGCCTCCGGCGGCAAAATATCTGGCAAAAGTGAGTTATTTTCGAGTGAAAATGACAACAGGAAAAACGCTTACGTAATCACAGATTTACATCTAATTTGGCGTTAAAATCCCCCAAAAAGCCCTGTATGAGTTGTAAGGGAGTGTGTAAGGGGAAAGCGATCAACATACAGAACTAGCCACTAGCACGGGCGCAGCCGCAAGCTGAATGTGACAATGTGCTTGGCGCCAGTAATGACGACGATCAAGCCCGTCGTAAAGATGATTCGACTGAATGGGCTCCAAGGCGCGAAGACTTGAGTGAGCGAATCCAACATTCTGAAAGTCCCCTTTAACAACAGGTATAATATGAATAGAATCAACTCACCAGTGTTGCGTAAGTGAAAAGCACACGATATTCCAGCACAGTGGACCAGCACCCGCTTGAAGCCCTCGCGTCACTAGAACTTGATGAACTTGAAGATGGCGAGGAATCTGTAGGAAAACAATGAGAACTTGATGCATGAGGGAGCAAAACAAAGACATACCATGTCAGCATGGTTGGGCACTCACGATATCAAGTGTGTGGTTTGAGCGCAAAGACAAGTGGTGGTGGTGTTGAGTTGTTGACAGTCGTGTGACTCTAATGTGCGGTGCGCAATTTGTGAGTGGAGATGTAGCCAGAGTCTATTGGCAAGGTGTGAGTACAGAAACACAGTACAGAAAGCACCACTGACCTGACTACAAGTTGGGGGCAGAGACACGGAAAGAGCTATGGCGCTAACTGCCAGCGCTCATTTGAAGGCTTGAGGTCCACGACGAGGAGTCTGCAGGAAACCTCAATGAGAACTTGACGGGTGAAGGGGAAGAAGAAAAAAAAAGGCATACCATGTCAGCGTCGTTGGGGTGTGGTTTGCGTACAGAGACAAGTGGTGAGCCAGACTCCTGCCTGTCGATAGTCGGGTAATTGTGATGCATCATAGCGCGCAAGTCGGGAGGAACTAGGATCATCAATGAGTATAGGGAAGACTGAGCGGGAGAGAATACATACCTGTGGGCAATGTCCGACGCGTCGAGCAGGGGATGGTGGTGGAGTTGTTGACAGAGAGAAATAGACGGGTCACGGAGAGTGACCGCGGAGTTGCCGGTGATGGATGGCAGCAACTCCGACATCGGCCGGTGATATGTGACGAGTGGCGAGAGATGCCGGCAGTCATTGGAAATGATCTGAGCGTCGGCGGAGGATTAGGCGAGTGACGGATAGACGGAGAATGGAGCGAGCCGACAGCGGGAATGGCATAGAGCTCAGGGACTAGCCGCGCTTAGGGTAACGACATGTGAACCTGTGTGAGCAGAGATTCAAACGGCTCTTGGCTTAGGTGGTTGCCGATAGACAGTTTGGTTAAGGTCATTTTGCCTGTTCAACCTTTTTGCATAGTTTTGGTTTGAAATCTAACATAGTCCAAAGCTTGTTGTGCATCAAGGAATCACCACTCAACATGGCCTTCCATTTCCTTCAACCCCCATTTTTGACTTGTTTGGACGCGTCGCTGATTCAGCTGCCCATCCTGACCGATAAGGCAATTCAATATGTTGTGAGTTTTGCCCTCATAACTTGCGCGATCAGGTACGGACAGGCGTGGGAAAATAATGTTCGAACCCACTAGATGTTATCCAGAGCTTCATCGCACTTATATCTGAGCATGAATGGACGTGATACACCAGGGGATGTATTCTACTGATAATGCAACAGACGTGCATCGCGCCCGCCGATAGGCTTGGAATTTTTTGGGTGACATGTGACATGTCACTCCAAGCCTCCCCCGTGCCCATATTCGTCGTCACGGCTTCTCCCACCATGCGGTATTGCTCCAATCCTCAAATGTGCTATTTCACTTTCCGACACTTAGGCGCGGCGGAGCTGGCTAGATCTCCCTATCAACCGTTGCCGACAGGGTTGATCTAACGTGGGAGGTGTTTCAAGTGTCCCCAATGGACCATGGGAGACAGTGTCAATGGACTTGATCGGCCCACTACCAGAAAGTAATGGCTTTACAGCTATCCAAGTCTGGGTCAACTTGTTTACCAAACGGATCCATATCGAGCCCGTGAGCATCAAGATCAACAGCGAGGGAATCGCACGCTTGACACGCGATCGGATTGTGCGATATCACGGGGTTCCTCGGAAGATAATCTCAGACCGAGACCCCGCTATGTATCCGACTTCATGCGTGAGCTTAATCGGCTGCTGGGAACAGAGATGAACCCAAGCACGGCATACCATCCTCAAACCGACGGTCAGACAGAGCGGATGAACAAAGAGATTGAACACTATCTCCGCATCTATGTCAACCACCACCAATCAGACTGGTCGGAATGGTTACCGTTGGCCGAAGTTCGCCTACAACGACAAAGCTCATGCTTCGACCAAGGTCTCGCCATTCTTCCTAGATCATGGGTACCATCCCTGGAAAGGCGTCGAAGGACCATATGACTCTAAGGTCGAGGCAGCAGAAGAATTCGCGAAAAAGATGCAGCGCGTGCGTGAGGATGCAACGGTGGCAATTAAGAAGGCCCAAGAGCGGATGAAGAAGTACTATGACCAGAAACGTGTACCAGCACCTGAGTTCAAAGTCGGAGACAAGGTGTACGTTGAAGGGTCAAAAGTGCAACAGAATCGACCATCCGAGAAGCTCAATGATCGACGTGTGGGACCATTCAAAGTGGAGGCAAAGGTTGGACCTTCGGCATACGAACTCAAGATGCCAGGTTCTAGTCAGGCTCATCCAGTCTACAATGAGACAGAGCTGACACCTTACCACGAGCCACCACCCCACCGGCGAGAAGAAAGGCCGCCACCGGACATTGTGGATGATCACGAGGAGTGGGAGGTTGAGGAGATTATGAAGAAGCGGAAGCGTGGTCATGGTTGGCAGTATCTGGTGAAGTGGAAGGGATACCCGCATAGCGAGGATACATGGGAGACGGCGCAAAGGCTTGAGAACTCTCAAGAATTGTTAGACGAGTTCAACCAGAAGAACCCAGTGGTCAAGACCCGTAGTGTGCCTGTCCTTGCCCAGGGTCATTGGGATTACCTGGTCAAACGTTATAAGCCGACGCAAGAGAAGCTCCCATATCCGTCCCGGAAACTCTTTAATTATCAGACTGGCCATTTTGTGGAGGCTGAAGGGGGGGTGGATGATGAACGCGCTTTAATGCCCTCTGTCGACGAGGACGTCGACCTTGAAGGGGGGGTAATGTCAAATCCTGGGTTCAAAAACCCTTTTTCTTCGCCTTTTAAACCTTTTATTTTGGCCCTGGTTGATAAGATAAGACAAGGAGGAGATAAGATGGACGATAAGATGGTGATTGGATCATCAGATGTCGATGCTGATGTTGATTGACAGCATGGAGTTGAACATGAGGCAAACAGCACGTAAAGGCATGGCTAAAGCATGACGTCATTACCTCTCGTATTAGGCATGGTAAACACATGGTAGTAGTGTATATAAGTAGAGTAGATTTCGTCTTGTACCCCAGTCTTCGAATTCCATCATCTTTACGATATCTTTTCACGGTGCTTCTTGCTTGCCTTCACTGGCCAACTGGCATCCTCTGAATTGGTGTTGTTTGTGACAAGTTCAATAGAGACGAAGCGCTTATTAGCGAAGGAGCGCTACCTGCATCATGGCCTGATGTAAGTCTCTCCCTAGTCATTTCCATTATTCATTGTCTTGTAGCAAATTTGCGTTGTAAAAGGGCACGTATGCTTCTTTTCCGTTGACGTCTCATTGTTGTTGGCAAATATGTTGCTTAACCAGCCCGAGCCAGAGGATGGCAAGACATCTGACTTCGAGCTCATGCAGTATCTTAGCTATCGACCAATTACCAACATGGATGAGTTTGGTGGCCTGGTAAGCCTCTCATCCCACAAACGTCTGATATATGCACTAACGTCAAACAGATTTAACCAACATCAAACTCTCTTGTTTATGCACAGTCGCTACATGCATCTTACAATAACTTCTGTAGTGCTCTTATCTCTTATTTCTCTTGTTGATTCCATTATACCGACTACAGATACACGAATTCGATAAACATATTTATTGATTATATCGCAGTAGAATATCTACCTAATTGTTGTCCAACGGGTCAGTCAGGTCAAGCGTCTGAGTTCTAGAAGAAATAGAAGCACAATAACCAAGAGCATTGAACGAGAAAACGTACCCGTTCTCAATGATCGACTTGAAGATGGTTGTTGGATAGTTGGCGCATGAAGGAAATGGGAAATGAGTGGGTTCTGGCTCTCCAAAGCCATGAGTGACATCACACCAAAAGGCGTTCAATGCGTATATTGTGGACACTCCTACATAGCAAGATAAAAGCTATTGAGATGCCAGTAGAAATCATACCTTCCCCATATGTACGCTCCATGTGTTGGACCATAACGCTCCTCCATCCACTGTGCGACTTGCACGTTCTCAGTGCCATGGTCCCCACGTACTCGACGAGGAACCCCATGATGAGCGACCACATTATCGAGGAAGAGCGTAAGCACTGTTTCCGCACGATTGTTGTCGTTAACCCGAATACCAGTGACAAATCGTGAGTACCCATCGATGAAGGCATGAATAACAAAGCGCCATCGACGCAAGCCTAACATGGAGAGATAAATGCAGAATGACAAAGAAGAAAACAACGAACCATGCTGCCCATCATGATGAGCCAGTGAGTTTGGCCCAGCGACATTGTATGGACGGACGACCACCACTTGGCTGGTTGGTGTATGAGACCGGTGGGCCATGAACACGGTAGTATGAGTCGCGGAGTCGAGACATCTGAATCGCTGATGGCCAAGGGCACGGAAATGTCCGTCAATCATACGACGTCCAAAGGTTGGAAAGAGTTCCAGTGTGTGACGACGATAAGGTTGTCGAGTTGATCGTCTGGAAGGTCAGAGACGGGGCCACTGGTAGAAGTGTAGATTCGAATGATGTCGCCAGTGTCTTCATCTCTAGCGTTTCCGTGTATACTGGGCGGGAAGGCTCAACAAGGCCATAATCAAGTTGGCGACGGCGGATCGTACGAGGGTGTACACCAGCAACTGGCCCCATACCAGTTGGCCCCCTGGTTTGCTGGCCAATGGCAAGAAAGTCAAAGTCGATCTCAATTCGAGGACGACCACGACGGCCAGTGTGGATGGTGTGAGCGACTTGAATGGCAGGCTGTGTGGAAACATCTTGGGATTGGAGGTCGGCTGTTGCAAGCGCCTGAAGCATCGAGTCAATGCTCTCTTCCATAATCTGGCGCTCAACTGCAGGAATGACATCTGCATGCTACAAAAGTCAGTTTTGAAGCTCAACAGTTGACACCATTTCCTACACACCTGTTGAACAGCCTCAAGAAGTTGAAAGACACCTTGATTCTGCTCATGGAGACGAGTGCGGTCACCGATTTGAGTGTGAAGAGCAGCATCGACACGTCGGCCTAGCTGTAGGAAAGCTACACGGATGCTTTCAAGAGGAAGAGGAACAAGCAGAGGACCCTCGTCAGGAGCCATCATGAAGAGCAGCAGTAGGCAGAGTCACACTGGTTTGGTCGCTCATGGCTGCCAAGTTGACTTCCAGAAAAATGAAGGTGGCAGCATGAAAGTTGAATGCGTTCAAGGAAAATCAAAATTGTTGTAATCAAAAAAGAAAATCATGATCAACAAAAAAAAATGGCTGGCATCAAAATGAAAAAATTCTGAAGATGGTAAATTTTATTTTCAAAATCTTGATTTTGATTTTGATTTTGTCAACTTTTGTTTTTGTTTCCGATAATTTTTTTTTTTCATCCAGCAAAATTTTGACCTTGCCAAAAACTTTTCGTTTTCAGCATTTTATTGGTCTTATCAACGCTGTTCACGCCTCAAACAAAAACGAAAGTGGGTCACACGAAAATATTATTTAAGTCCAAGGAGGACACCTATAGCAGGTAACGGTGCAGAGTATCTTTCAATTCCAGCCGAAACGCGACTGTCGACGCGTCTGAGCACCGTAAGAACACGTGAGCTGGTGTTTCATCTTCGTCACCACATCGATGACACGCTCCAACGGTGACGCTGAATTAATGATCAAATAAGGCAAATACCGGTCACGTGCTTCGCAAGCCTAATCCGCGCACCACTAATTTTTTCCGCTATAAAAGTCCAGCTTTGGGTGGCTTTAGTTGCGCGAAACCCGGATGTGAGTCGAATTTATTGATACTTATGTATGTATGGAAGTATTTGTTGTTCTCGAGCCTGGGGAAACCCGAATCCGACTCAATAGCCACTGGTCGCAGCTTGTTCAGTTGATGCAATTTGTACAGAAAGCAAAAGGGTTTGATACACTTCGGATGGCTAAGTTTCCAGCTTTGCGACACTGTTGGCAACAAAGTCAAATGTTGCGAGCGTGGAGAATGCTATGACAGGTTAATCAGACGAGCGGCAGATTAGAAAGCCATACGGGTGAAGCCATTCGCAAGTTGTGTGGACGCGGATCGTTGCGCAGGGGTGAGTATTTGTGTGGAGGCGTCATATGACCAGCCATCGCTCGCAGCAGCTGATCGTGGTGGTGGTAAGAAATGCACGAAACTGAGAAGGAATGGGTACCTGACAGGACCTCCTCCGCCCCAAGACCAAGGTATACCTGGGCCAGGGACACTGGAAGGGAGGTATAGGCCTTCTTTAGGAGATTAAATGTCCGCGTGCGGAATGATTCTGTGAAGACACGTGAGCTTCACAGCAGAAGTTATTGAGGTGCAAGAGAATCAGAAAAGCGGGCTCAAGGCCCGAAGGTAGCTGAGATAGGTTTCTGCAGTGCAGACGAAGGCCTGCATAAAGCCAAATGCCTCATGGAAAGCATCGAACGAAAAGCATACCGAGGAAAGCGTTCAGCATGAGGCCCAATATCGCGCCGAGATTCGCGTCAAGGAAGTCGGAGCCGCTGGTGATAGCAAGAAGCTCGGTCGTGCGAGAATAGACATTAGCGTATTTGCGTTCCAGAATCCACAGTTGATGCCAGCAGCGCGAAGAAGGCTTTTGCGATGGGAGACACAGCAAGGTCGCGCGGAAGGCGCTGTAAGGCGAAGCGAGCGGGCTGGCTATGACGCGTCAAAAGAAACAAAAGACTGGGCAACGAGACACTACTTGCAGATCGTCGAGGATAAGATAGGCAAGAACGAGGGGCGTGGTCAGCGCAAGACGGGTTGGACTGCGGTCAGAGTCGGCCTGGACTGTGATGTCAGTCGGGATCGGGAGACATAAAGGTTGCTCGACACACCCCGTAGTCGTTCAACTCGGCCAAACGGATGAGTTCTTTGTACTTCTTTTCTGTTGCCAAAGGAAATATTTGCGTAAAGTGATCTGAAACGACGCTTTGTGGGGCTGGCGCTGCAGCTGGAGCCCTAGCAGCATCCTGAATTTCGGTTGCTGAGGAAGGGGGTGGTGTTGGTGGGCCTGCTGTAGACATGATGATGCCAACCCCCGTTGCTCCAGCTCACCCATCGCAAAGGTGAGCCCTTACCCTCTGCTGTCCACCTCAACGCTGCTTGCTCACCCATCGCAAAGGCTCGCAGCTCGCTAAGGCTCGCGCGGGGGGGTCTAGTTATATACCTTTTTTTTTCAAGAGTTACGATACTTACCTACTTGATTCTAGTACCCGTCGCCTGCACCTCCCCGATCATCTCTCCTTCCCGCGACGTCCCCCTCTCCCTTCCACCGGCTTCCCATCGGCTCACCATCCCCGTTTGCCCCCCATCTCTCCCTACCACCTCCAACAAAAACCAAGGAAATCCGTGGAGAACTCGCCGAGAACGCCTTGTGATGGCCCAGGCAGCTGCTAGACATCAGCAATTTGCATAAACAACTGGAAAAAAAAGACGCACCTTGAGTCAGTCCCCCAAACTGAGAAAAAGTAAGCTAGAATAGAGCAGATTGTCGTAAACTCACTGCAATAGCCAGCAGCATCCAAGTTGTCAACAACTGCCAAAGAATCGCTTGCGTCCCAAAGTCGAGTTGAACACACAAAGTCACTCGCGCGCAAACGATGCGCCCGCGGGAAACCCGGCTCGGTGAACGTGGAGGGCATGCGCCTTGACCAGGAAAAGTCACGACAAGTAGGCCTCGTTGTCTCGGATTGAAACAGCCCCAAACTGAGAACAAAGTAAGCTAAAATTGCAGATCGTCCCACCATTTTGAAGACATTAGTGGTCGAGATGGTCCAAACGAGGCGGGGAGTAGCCGGAAGAGTTATGTTGGCACTGGCGGCGGGTGGAGACATAGGAAGTAATGGAGAGCGACGTGGTCATTGTGAGCACGCATGGAAAGAGGTCGTTTGCAGCATCTCGGATCCCAACATCATAAGACTGAGAAGAAAATATTAGGCTAGAATTAAAGCAGATCATCATAAGCTCACCAGAGAGCTGATTGGCAGCACACCGTGCTTTGCAGTCTCGGATCGCGATATCGCAGGACTGAGAAAAAGACAACAGCAGGAGAGTGCACGCAATCGCGAGAGTGGTGCTGGGGGTTGATTGTTGACAGCGCGAAAGCTGGGCCGGCTCTGAGGGGAACGTGTGCCGTTGAAGGCGGCGCTAGAAACTCAGAGGTTGCCAGATGGTGAGGGTTGGTGGGACAGCAGTTCGCGGGACTGCTCGTGATCTCCCGACTGCGTGTGGCGGGGCGGAATTGCAGAACAAAACTGGGTCGGGAGTGACGAGGGAGGGTTGGTCATTTGAGGATTGATAGCCAGTGGGAGGTTGCGTGCAATGGCGAGAGCGGTGCTGGTCACACGCAGATGAAGAGGACGGTGGTGGTGTCGGGGGAGTTTTGGCGGCAACATGACCCGGGCAATTGGCCCGGTTTGAAACCCTGTCCTTGTTGTTATTGCTCTGGCCACCCCGACCGAGTCGCCCGCTGCTGTCTCGGTTTGCCGCAGCACCAGACTGAGAAAAACAACAAGGACCGCCGGAGTTGTGGCTCAGGCAGGTTCCCGTTGTCGCGACTGCTTTGTCGTCAGAGGTGTGACCCAAAGTGTTGCCGAAAGGTCGCGTTGCCCTTCACGGGGCTAGCAATTGGAGGATGCATTGCGGGCGGCGGGCATCCATGGTGGAATCTGCGAGTCGAATGCTGTAAGGAGCGTGGACGCCGCTAACTTCTTGAACCATTAAAGCAACGGCGAGTCGGAGGTGAAGGTACGCCTCCGCTTGCAGGGGCAATGGTGAGTGGGGGGCGAGTTTGGAACTAGAACAGGTTCCGGCAGGAAGGGGTTGGCGAGAGCTTCTGGCCATGCGCGCGGGGAATGGCTTTGCGGGTGTTGTGACATTGGTCGCCTGTGCACACAGTTAGCCGCGACGTGACAGAACAGAAGAACAAAAACATACAAGGAGAGGGGATGGCAGCAAATGGCTGCCAACGTTAACTTTGCTCGGCCAGCCGGTTTGTTTGCCTCCGGCAGCAAAACCCCGCGAAAAATGAGCCGATATAACCCGTTTTTTGAGCGCAGAATAGCTGCCCAAAATCATCGGATAATCCGGATCATTGATCGGATCGACGGCCGGCAGCAGCGGCAATGTGTCCCGGGACGCGGCATGAGGCGGCACATCACCTCCGGGCCTGATCGTACGGTTCAGTTCATCAAGAATGGGGATTTTGTGAATCATACCTGGTGGGATCTTGCTGCAAATGGCAGCAGCTGCAAGGTTGAGTCCAGGTGGTCATGCGTCGCCTCCGGCGGCAAAATATCTGGCAAAAGTGAGTTATTTTCGAGTGAAAATGACAACAGGAAAAACGCTTACGTAATCACAGATTTACATCTAATTTGGCGTTAAAATCCCCCAAAAAGCCCTGTATGAGTTGTAAGGGAGTGTGTAAGGGGAAAGCGATCAACATACAGAACTAGCCACTAGCACGGGCGCAGCCGCAAGCTGAATGTGACAATGTGCTTGGCGCCAGTAATGACGACGATCAAGCCCGTCGTAAAGATGATTCGACTGAATGGGCTCCAAGGCGCGAAGACTTGAGTGAGCGAATCCAACATTCTGAAAGTCCCCTTTAACAACAGGTATAATATGAATAGAATCAACTCACCAGTGTTGCGTAAGTGAAAAGCACACGATATTCCAGCACAGTGGACCAGCACCCGCTTGAAGCCCTCGCGTCACTAGAACTTGATGAACTTGAAGATGGCGAGGAATCTGTAGGAAAACAATGAGAACTTGATGCATGAGGGAGCAAAACAAAGACATACCATGTCAGCATGGTTGGGCACTCACGATATCAAGTGTGTGGTTTGAGCGCAAAGACAAGTGGTGGTGGTGTTGAGTTGTTGACAGTCGTGTGACTCTAATGTGCGGTGCGCAATTTGTGAGTGGAGATGTAGCCAGAGTCTATTGGCAAGGTGTGAGTACAGAAACACAGTACAGAAAGCACCACTGACCTGACTACAAGTTGGGGGCAGAGACACGGAAAGAGCTATGGCGCTAACTGCCAGCGCTCATTTGAAGGCTTGAGGTCCACGACGAGGAGTCTGCAGGAAACCTCAATGAGAACTTGACGGGTGAAGGGGAAGAAGAAAAAAAAAGGCATACCATGTCAGCGTCGTTGGGGTGTGGTTTGCGTACAGAGACAAGTGGTGAGCCAGACTCCTGCCTGTCGATAGTCGGGTAATTGTGATGCATCATAGCGCGCAAGTCGGGAGGAACTAGGATCATCAATGAGTATAGGGAAGACTGAGCGGGAGAGAATACATACCTGTGGGCAATGTCCGACGCGTCGAGCAGGGGATGGTGGTGGAGTTGTTGACAGAGAGAAATAGACGGGTCACGGAGAGTGACCGCGGAGTTGCCGGTGATGGATGGCAGCAACTCCGACATCGGCCGGTGATATGTGACGAGTGGCGAGAGATGCCGGCAGTCATTGGAAATGATCTGAGCGTCGGCGGAGGATTAGGCGAGTGACGGATAGACGGAGAATGGAGCGAGCCGACAGCGGGAATGGCATAGAGCTCAGGGACTAGCCGCGCTTAGGGTAACGACATGTGAACCTGTGTGAGCAGAGATTCAAACGGCTCTTGGCTTAGGTGGTTGCCGATAGACAGTTTGGTTAAGGTCATTTTGCCTGTTCAACCTTTTTGCATAGTTTTGGTTTGAAATCTAACATAGTCCAAAGCTTGTTGTGCATCAAGGAATCACCACTCAACATGGCCTTCCATTTCCTTCAACCCCCATTTTTGACTTGTTTGGACGCGTCGCGACGCGTCGCGACGCGTCGCGACGCGTCGCTGATTCAGCTGCCCATCCTGACCGATAAGGCAATTCAATATGTTGTGAGTTTTGCCCTCATAACTTGCGCGATCAGGTACGGACAGGCGTGGGAAATAATGTTCGAACCCACTAGATGTTATCCAGAGCTTCATCGCACTTATATCTGAGCATGAATGGACGTGATACACCAGGGGATGTATTCTACTGATAATGCAACAGACGTGCATCGCGCCCGCCGATAGGCTTGGAATTTTTTGGGTGACATGTGACATGTCACTCCAAGCCTCCCCGTGCCCATATTCGTCGTCACGGCTTCTCCCACCATGCGGTATTGCTCCAATCCTCAAATGTGCTATTTCACTTTCCGACACTTAGGCGCGGCGGAGCTGGCTAGATCTCCCTATCAACCGTTGCCGACAGGGTTGATCTAACGTGGGAGGTGTTTCATCGGAGCTCCGCCGCGCTCGATGTACTTTCAGTGCAAAATCTCACTTTCTGTACTTGTGTGAATACAAGCATAAACTTGGGAGGTCTGAGGCAGGAAAAGTGTAGGGCACACAGAAACTACAACCCTCCTTCAATTCCTTGCGCTCGATTTTATCTCACCCGACATCGGCACTCAATATGCGGGAATCTTGAAATCACGTATAAGTCAACTCCGTTGATATCTTCAGCGCTCCGCTTCTGAATCGGCTCAACATGCCGTTACGGTGGGTATAAAACCCTGGGACTTGTCTTGACAAGTTCCATCGCCCTTTCCTCCCTTCTCTCACCTTCACTCCCGCTCGACCTGCTCGTTGTCATCGTTGCTCACAGCACACAAGGGTGCGTTGCTCAACTCTTGCATTTCTGTCTAATGACTTGTACTTGGCTAGTTCGACACTTCCCGCTCTCAACCTGTCGGCGTTGAGCAGCATTGTCGGCAGTCCCGGACGATGATGATGATGCGCCGACTTTGGTATTTCACTGGTTTGACACCTGGACCAGGTGAGTTTTCTAGTATAGAGCATCGACAAACAAACCAGCTTACCGTGATTTGCAGGCCGCAACAACCCCGGGCTGGGCCGTTTGACTTGTGGAGTTGGCGCCCGTTGAAGGCGATCCAGGTATGTTCTTTAGCGCTTGCAGCTGTTGTCGTTGTCTGACTTGTTAGGATAATGCGCCGAACACGCCGAAGATTCTGAACCAGGTGAGTATGGAGTAGCGACAAACAAACCAGCTTACCTTGATTTGCAGCTTGCCTTGGTTCTGTGGCTTGGAGGCAAGCGCCGTTGACGGCAGTCCGGGTGTGTGGCTAACCATTGGCGGTAGTGATGTCAACTGACTTGGTTTAGCAGGGCCGCCGCTCCCTGCCCTTGACCAGTAGCGACAAACAAATTAGCTTAAGCAGCCCACTGATTGACCTTCATATCGTCAGACCCGCTAACGCAGCATCTCAACGAGCGCGGAAACGGGCGAGCTGGATTGACCGCGATGTAAACCTATATTTGGGTGAGTTTGCCATCCAACACATTGAGAACGACGACTGACCCTCTTAAGACGGCACGAAAGACAGTAACGAGGGTAACGCAGGAGGTCAGGGGACGATAACAATAACAACCGGGGAGTGTTGGGGTTTCTGCCCATAGCGTTGGCGGCCTTGGTCTTCATCCCGACACAAGGCATGAGCTGGTTTGCATGCTAGACAACGTCTGGTAAGTCAGAATTGCATATCATAGTGGCAGCTTACCTGAAACAAGACTTGGCGCAAAATATGCGCAGAGATGATCACAATCTGGAGCTGGTTGCTGGTTAAGCTAGCGCTGCCTTGGTGAGTTTGCCGTCC